GTTACAGTATGCCGCTGTTCAAATGGCCAAAAGGACTTTGTGTGTGGTATCATTAAATCTAACCTGGTGCTGTCGAGCTAAGTAGACACATATGGCAATTATAAAGATGAATAGTGCCAAACCAGCCAAACATACATAAATGAAAATCCAGGATGGATCAAGAAGCTTCTTTAAATGTTTCCAGACGCATGTCAGAAAGGGTCTATATCCAGTGGCTCCTCAACAATTTCCTGTAACTTAGTAAAATCATTAGCAAGTTGAGCAGATAATTGTACATACTTTGAATCCCATTGGCCCTTAATAAGAATAGAAAGTTGTTGTCTAGCTAAAGACATGTTAGTAACAGGGAAAGGGGTAAGACAGGATTTACCATAATTAGGATCACAGGAATATTTAGAGATACTTTTTACTACTTTAATTTTTTTAGACAACAAATCTATTTGTTGCTGCAAAACCAAAATGGCCTGATAAAAATGACTATTGAGAAGCAATTGAGTTTGATAAGCATTAGCTGTGGTATTAACTAATTATTTAATGCTGCAGCAGTAATGGTATTCTGAGAAACAGCCATTGCAGCCGTAACTCCTCCTGTGAGGGCGGCTAGAATAGCTGCTGAAACAGCCATAGTAATGCCAAAATCTCTTTTAAATCTAGTAACAGTCATAAGTCTAACTTTATGATAATGATCTGGGGAAACAGCTGGTACCCAAAAGCTAGCAGGTGTTCTAACAATTCCTGCAAAAGGAAAAGTAATATTCCAACAGGAGGAAATTCTGCAAGAGGCTATAGAACAATTAATTTTTGCAAATACCAATGGACTATTAACTAGTAAAAAGAAAAAGGTGGTTTTAAACAAACCTTAGCAGGAGAAAGAGTAAGACTGACTTTTAGAGTTGCTAATAAATGTTTGCCTGTAATAGCATTAAAACACGTAGTACCATTTTCTACAATGGTTGTATTAAAAAAGTAGAGAGATCTAATATCTCTCAACTCAACTTTCCACATAAGTAATATGGTCCCATTACCCATGGTACTTCATAAGTATGCCATTAGCATCAGCCACAGTGTGCTATCTGACTCATTATATTGGGGTTTATTCAATGCCTGCAAGGGATGATGAGGAGATAAACAATAAACCCAGGGTAAAGAAAGACCTACAGAGGTAGAATAAGTACTTTCTTTAGGGCAACTAGATAACTCTACCAAAACAGGCTGATCAGTTAAATTAGAATAGCCAACAGCAACTCAAAGGTCAGTCAATATTAATTCATTTCCTAAATCTGGCTTTAGCCAATAAGTATCGGCATGTCTTCCATAGTAATGTTGAACACAAGGGGATAAAGCTTAAAGTAAGAACGTCCAATAAATGAACCAGCAAGTTTAAAACAAACTGAATCAGTAAAATTGTAAAACCCAGAAATATCTGTAGAAGTATCTACAGAAGAAAAAGGCAAACCTGAGCTATCATTACTAGAATATAAGGCAGGAAACAAAGGTCCACTAACATGCACAGGGAGAAGGGGGGGTTGGGCACTAAAGCCCAAAGGTTTTACTCAGTCTTCACTGGATGAATCAGCTGCAATAGGATCAGCAATATCATCACTCAGGGAATGGTCTTGTTCTTTGATGTAATGCAGTTGTCGCACCAGTCTCTCTGGCAGCCATCGAGCAGCATGCTCATCCTGTGAAAAAACACAAACATATCCTCGTTCCCAAATCAAAACGGGGTTGGGTCCATGCCATGAATTATTTAAAGGATCCTTCCATTTAACCATGGCATAATGGCATGCCATTTCAGAGTGCCAAAAATGTTCAGCCACAGATTTGCCATGTTTGTCCAAGGTTAAAAAATTCAATATAAAAGTACATGGTTTAATTGAGCTCTGGATGAACGAAGAGGACAGAAATTTGGTAGGAGAACAGGAAGAACAGAGAGAAGGTTTAGAGCAGAGAAGAGAAAAAAACTTGAACATAGGATACCACCTTTCATTTACCAGATCGCTGACAGCAATTAAAAAGATCCTGTAAAATATTGGATCTAATGTGCCAATTTGAGCCATTATCTAAAGACTATGTAGGCCAAGTTTTATTACAGAGGCGTACAAGGTTAGAGGCCTTTAAGTCAGGCTCCATGCATAGGCTTTTAAAATTCTCCAGAAGACATCCCAGTGGGGATTCTAGAGGAACTGACAAATGGGCAGTTCCCATTGGGAGGGTAGGAGTCAGTGACCTGCTGGAGGCATCCCAAAGGAAAGGCTTAACTCAGTAGAGTATGGCCCTACCTCATCCAACAACTCATCAGCATTGGCCAGAGACCAAGGGCGCAGCTGCCTGTAGGAGACACAATTTACTTAGCACTAGGATTTTCATAGGCGAGCATGAGAGGGAGAAACTGTGCACATAGAAGGGAAAAAAATCTCACCCAAGGGAAAGAGGAAACCCTAAATGGAGGTCAGCAAAAAGGGTCAACCGTAGCCAGTGAAGACCGTGGTTGGGGATTCTTCCATTTCAAAGGTTAGTAGGAAGTTGCCGAATATTCAATGGTCAATTTTCCCATACTAAGAGAGGCATTTATACTGACCAATGAGGGGAACTCACCAACTCAGCTGGTGTTGCATGCAGCAGATAGCAATCTGGTTGCTGGAAAGTGGATTGTGGGCAGATTTGGAATGAAATAGGTTCCCAGCAGCTCCAGTGGGGTGCTGGTGCCAAAAAGCAACCACCATGTGGCATGGCCACTGGAGCCACCTATGCCCAGCCAATGCACCAATGTTAGGATTGTGCAGCAAAGTTACAAGGTGGGTTCGCAAATCACGCCATGCAACTGGTTCCACATGGGAGATTTAATAAGGGAAAGGGTCACAGAGACTGTCTCTCAGCAGGGCAAGAGAGAGAGAAAGAGAGAGAGATTGGAGGTGGTGCAAGTTCTCTTATAAGGAGACCCAGAGCATGCACAGGTGGTTTCAGGTGGTCCATAGGTGGCTTTATAGATGCCTGATATCTGGTTTGTCAGGTCCCTTGGAACTGGCCATAGAGATGCCTTTTTATAGATCACAACACTCATCCCCTCCCAATACACCCTTCTTCCCTCTTTTCTCCCCAAGCCAGGTTCCCTAAGGGGCAAGGGAGAAGAGGGAGGGAGGGTGTGATCTCTCTGTGTTTTTAATCAGTGTTTTGTTTGTTTTTCTGCAGCTAAGGCCTTGCTGCTCTGCAGGAGGTCCATCTAATAAGGAAGTTGTGGGTTCCTGCCTTAGAAACTGCAGTTCCCCTCTTTTTAAACAGAACTAAGAAACTTCTCTGTAGTTTTATTTTCTTGCTAGATTACTATAAAGTCTGACCAATGTTGGCCATTTGTTACAGTTATTTTTATATGTATTTGTTCTCTTCTTTTTCTTTATTATTATTAATTATTAAAATTTATTCACTTTGTATCCTGGCTGTAGTCTCCTCCTTCATCTTCCTCTAGTCCCACCCTCGTTGTTCCTGATTCCTCTCCCCCTCCCCCCCATGTCCCTCCCCTAGTTCACTGATAGAGGAGGTCCTCCTTCCCAACAATGTGACCCTTGCCTATCAGGTCTCATTAGGCATATTTGGATCCTCTTTTCTCTGTGTCTTAGTAAGGCCATCTCACCAGGGGGTGTGATCAAAGAGCAGGCAACGAAGTTAATGCCAATGACTGCCCCTGCTCTCCTTACTAGGGAACACACATGGAGACTGAGCTGCCCATGGGCTTCATTTGAGCAGGTGGTCTAGGTCCTCTCCATGCATGGTCCATGGTTGATTCATTAGTCTCTGCAGGACACCCTCGGGTAGATTTTTTGGCTCTGTTGGTCTCATTTTGGAGCTCCCTTCCCCTCCAGGTCTTCCTAACTTCTCCTTCTTCCATAAGATTCCCTGTACTCTGCCCAAAGTTTGACTATGAGTCTTGGCATTGCTTCGAAACCCTCTGGGGTAGAGTCTTTCAAAAGCCCCTGTTAAGTGTTCCTGTCCTGTTCCCTCTCTTCTCCTACTTCTGATGTCCATCCTGTTTGCCTTTCTGAATGAGGTTTCAGACTCTTCCCTAGCTTCTTTAGGACTATAGATTTTAGTATGTTTATCTTATGTGGCTAATATGAGTGCTTCTGGATTACCTCACTCAGGATGATCTTTTCTAGTTCCGTCCATTTGCCTGTAAATTTCATGATTTCCTTGTTTTTATTGCTGAGTAGTATTCCATTGTGTAAATGTACCACAATTTCTTTATCCATTCCTCGGTTGAGGGATCCAGCTATCATATAAATAATTGAGACTTTTATATTTGTTTAACAACAAGCTTCACAACACAATAACTGAATAGATATTACTCTATTCTTAACCCTCTAAGCTGATTTGGCTTCCTTCCAGGGGGCATCCCAGTGATACTTGCACTTTGTAGGTTTCCTTGGCTCCAGCACTTTCCTCCTGATGTTTTTTTGGACCTCTGCCAGTGGCTCAATTCTTTGGCTGAATTCTTCCTGGCCAGCAGGAAGTCCAGCCCTATTGTCTGCTCCTCTCAGTGATTGGCTGTAAGTTGTTTTATTGACATATGAGGGAACCATTGGGAAGCCAAGTTTACATTAAGTCAGGAGATTCTTAGAACAAGGCTTGTAACCAGATGTGGGCATACAGAAATCAACATTTGAATTACATAATAACCTTATGGCTACAGTGCTAGAATTGATGGTATTTATAAGTGCTTTGATATACATTACATTTGAAAGGGATCACAGAAGAAATGATTTCCTCAGTGGGTGAGAAGTGAAAAAAAAAATCGAAAATTTTACCTTCGAATCAGTTTTAACCCTGTGAAGGAATACTGAAGGTCTCTGAACACATGCCCTCATCTTCAGCTAGAACCTTCTACTCTCTAGCTTATCTATAAAATGATTGTGTCATATTGAATTATTTTATTACCTGTAAGCAAGCCTTTAAATCAAACAAACATAGAAACAAAACTAATTCTTCTCACCTATAATTGTTAGGAAAAATACAATAAAAAGTCTGAATTTACCATGGACAACCTGATCATCACCATAGCTGATCTTTTTGGTGCGGGAACAGAGACCACGAGTTCCACAATGAAATATGGACTTTTGCTCCTACTGAAGCACCCAGAGGTCACAGTATGTTTTAGAGAGGCAGATGAATGTCCAGGTACAAATGGGTAGATAACACTAGAACCTGCCCCATTCTTCCTTGAATAAACACTGTACTAGAAACATATGCATGATTAACACACTTACCCCCACTGGGTGAATTCAACTGAAAGTAGATCACAGTAAAGAAAAATACTGACATAGTTAAGATACAGCAGGAAATGGAAGGGCAGTGGAAATTATTCTCCTTTCTACGATTTGGAATCCTAGATTTGGGTTAGGACAAACACATAACAGTTTTCTTAGGGTCCAAACAGAAGTAGACTACCTCCCACATTTTTTTTAAATCTACATCTTCATAAATACTTGTTTGTTTTCCAGAAAGTATTTATTATTTATACTTTGGTTAGCATCTATTATTTATAGATAATGATGTGTTTCAGTACAATATTTCCTTACATACATAATAATAATATTTTGATTATACCTCACTGCTCTCTGCCCCTCCCTCCCAGCAACCCCTTCCTTTTCCCAATTGCTCCCCTTTTTACTTTCATGTCATTTTTTTTTTCAATAACCCAATAGCTTATCAGGGCCTGATGTAGATGTCCCATTTTATGGCTGAGCATTTGAAAGTGTTAAAGTCACTTATTTTATCCTGTTTAGTCTCTGCAAGAGCTGCTACTACCCACCCCCTACAACAAGAATCTTCTCTGACCAAAATTTGGAGTAGACATAACCTAGGGATATAACCATAAATCTGTAGAAGGCGATTGGATGGGCATGCCATATTTATTTTGCAAATTAACAGCAATACTTCCTCTAGAGGGCCTGTACCATTCTCAACGAGTTTACAGTACCAGACTTGAATGCTCTCCTTCCAAAGGTGATTGAAATATAATGAGATTTACTTTATGACAGAATATGTGGCATGTGTCTTTTCTGGGACTGAATTTTCTCATTCAATATCATATACTGTAGTTCTGTCTACTTTCCTGAAATTTTATAATTTCTTTTTTTTGTCCACAGCTGAATAAAATACCACTGTGTCTGTATCTGTACATCATCTTATCCATTTATCAATTAATGGGCATCTCAGTTCCACGTCCTAGCTATTTTGAATAGAGCATCCATGAACATGTATGAGCAAGTATATCTGTAGTAAGCTATAGAGGCTTTTGGAAAAGCACCCAGTAGTAGTATATTTGAGTCATTAGTAATTCTATTCCTAGATTTTTGAGAAAATTTTACACTTACTTCCACAATGGCTGTCTTAGTTTGCACTACCACCAACAGCAAATAATTTTTATTTTTGACCATTCCCAGAGTGGCATTTGGTGTTAGATTTCTTCATGATAGCCATTCTCACTGGAATGAGATGTATTCTCAAAGTAGTTTTAATTTGTATTTTCCTGATGGCTAATGATAATGAATATTTTAAAAAATGTTTACAGGCCACATATTCTTGATTTTTAAGAACTCTGTTGAGAATTATAGTCCATGTTTGATTGGATTGTTTGTTTTGTATTTAGAGTTTTGTTTTCATTGTAAATTCTAGATGTCAATCTTGCATCAGGTGTGTAGTTGAAAATGATTTTCTTCTGTACTGTTGGAGTAGGGTCAGCTGTCTCTTCCCTTCACTTACCACTTCCTTTGCTCTAAACGGCTTTTTTAATTTTATGATGATCTCATCCATTATTGACTTTATTTCATGAGTGACCCAAGTTCTATTTATTAAGTATTTGTTCCTCTTTTTTGGCCTTATACAAGCCTCTTTTCCTCCTTTATACCACGTGTTGTTTTTACGTATATGTCATCTATTCCTATCATCTAAAGCTACCTTCCCTTGGTCTCCACTCTTTTTTTTTTTTAAATAGTTTATTTAATTTTTATGTTATGTGCATTAGCGTAAAGGGGTCAGATCCCTTGGAATTTGTGTTACAGACAGTTGTGAGCTGCCATGTGGGTGCTGGGAATTGAACCTGGGTCCTTTGGAAGAGCAGACAGTGCTCTTAACCACTGAGCCATCTCTCCAGCCCTGGTCTCCACTCTTATAACTGTTTACATACATATACATAGTAGGTTAGGATCCACATAACCTAACATGAGGGAGAACATGAAATTTTTACCTTCCTGAGTTTGGTTCACCTCAATCTTATATTTTCCTTATCCACTCCTTTTATGGAACAATTTTCTGTTGTAATTTCCTTCATACCTTAAAACTCTTTGATTCTATATATGTACTACAATTTTTATCATCTATTCATTTGTTGATTGACATCTCAGCTGGTTCCATTTTTTTGCTGTCAATAAACAAGGGTGTATAAATGTGTCTACTATAGACTATCTGATTCTTGGTTGTATGTCCAGGAGTAATATGGTAGGGTCATGTGATAGATCACTCTTGAACTTATTGAAGAACCTCCATAACAATTTCCATAATGGTTGTACTAATTTATACTCCCATCAGCAGTGACTAAAGCTTCCCTCCCCCCATCCACAGCAACATTTGTTGTCAGGATTCTTAACAATAGCCATTTCTGTGAGATGGTATCTCAAAGTAGTGCTAATTTACATTTTCCTGAAGATAAGGTTGTTGAATATCTCAACAAATATTACTTAGCCAGTTTCTTCTGAAGAGAACTTTTATGTTTCATCTGTCCTCTTGTAGTATGGCAACATTTTTTGTGTGTTTAATTGTTACAGCTGTTTGTAATTTCTGAATATTAGTCCTTTCTCTGAAACATAGCTGGCAAACATTATCCCATTATGGGGCTTTCCTGTTTATGCTGCTCTTGCGGTATATATAATTTTGCTATGCAGAAACTTTTAATTTGTTCCCATCTGTGGTTTCTTGGGCCAGTGCCCTACTATCAAACTCTGCTCAGAAAGTTCTTGCCTAGAGCTGCTTTCAGACATATATTTTTTGATGTTTTCTCTAGAAGCATCAGCATTTCAGGCTTTATCAATAGTATTTGATGTACTTTGAATTGACTTTTGCATAGAGTGAAAGACATGAATATAATTTGTTCTTCTGCAAACAGATATATAGCTTTGCCAATACCATTTACTGAATGGGCTGTCCTTTTCCCTCTGCATGCATGTGTGTGTGTGTGTGTGTGGCACTACTGTCAATGTATTTGTTTTGCTACTTTTCTCACTGATTGTTATTGTATATGGGAAAGGTATTGACTGTGTATGTTAACATTCTATCCTGCCACTTTGCTGAAAGTGTTATATCATCTAGGAGTTTTATGGGAAATCCAACATATAGAATCTTGCTGTTCATGTATTAGGTTTTCTCCCCTTGTGGAAATGAAGGAATTTAGTCTTTCCAACTTTCTACTTCCTACCGCAGCATGAAAATGATAAAGAATTATATAAAAGATAATTCTTTCTTTATTTGTAAAAATCTTTCTTTCTTCCCTGGAAGCTAAAATTCAGGAAGAAATTGCACGTGTGATCGGCAGCCATCGGAGGCCCTGCATGCAGGACAGGAATCACATGCCCTACACAGATGCTGTGCTGCATGAGATCCAGAGATACATTGATTTTGTTCCCATTCCCTTTCACGTACAACAACACAGGATGTACAGTTCAGAGGATACCACATTCCCAAGGTGAGATTGTGCTCCTTACCAAGGATCTTTTTGTGTCAATAATTAAGTAATGTGATCACAGATGTCTGTACCTTCTGTAAGGGTTCCAGAATCCTACCTCAGGCATCTCAGCCCCTTCACCCTGTGCTTCCTTTGCCTGTCATTTGTTGTTATAATTTCGTAATACGATTTGGTTCTCACAAACTTTTCAGTACATTGATATATCCATACCTTACCCATTAATGCAACCTGCAGTCTATGGTCTTGCTTTCCAGTGGGTTTTATGACTGTTGTCAATTAAACACACTTCTCTATTTTCCCCTGTCTTCATATTTTCTGTTTGACTTACTTAGGAGAAATACAATCTATTAATACATTTCTTCCTTCTTGCTTTGGGGAAACTCATCTATGCAGCTCAGTAATTTGGGATTATACCAAACACATTGATATTGTATTTATATACATAGCAGTATATATTTGGAGACTTGGTCTTATTTTGGAATTAAAAATAACATCTTAGCTTCACTCTTCTGAGCACTGGAGTTTGTAGGCTTGTGTCACCATTTTCTACTTAGTTTTAACAATATTTAGTATTTTGTTTATTAATAAATAAAATCAATTTATTTCAGTTAACTCACAAAGTAAAAACATTATTATAGTGGTCCTATTGGACCCATCAGTGATATAAATAATGACAGTGAGGCTTATCAATATTTTTAAAGCTTAGATCTTTTGCTGACCAGTCTCTAGCTTACTCTAACCTGCCTAATCCGGGCACTAGGTCCCTCAGTCCAGGTTTACCTCTCTCTTCTGCTCTGGTCCATCTGTTTACCTCCCGAGTCTGCTGTTGAATCTCTCATCTCTGATTACTTCTCCAGGGGTCCCACTCTCTGCCCATAAGAGCCACCTTCCACTTCCTGCCCAGATGTTGGCCATCAGATATTTATTAAAACCAATCAGATACAATTCTAGTTTGCCTTACGCAGGTGAGAAGGGAACAAATATTTAAAAAATATGAGACCAGTGATGGGCTGTAGAAGTACCAATACCAAGATCTGGCTAGTAATTAGCTCTTTGTGCCAGCACAGAATTAACATGAATACACGGAGACATTCCTTCACACAGTGCGCCTCAACATCTCCCCCTTTTAAGTCCAATAAATGGCTTTTTCTCTAACATCAATAAACTATCTACAATGAGACAATTACTGGAACTCTCAGGAAAGAATTATATTTACAGTGTCCAGTCCATTTGTATCAGGCAAACTTGGAGAAAGTACTCTACAGTCTGTCCTATCTTGCTGAATTCAAAGTTCTGTGCCTAAATCACTTTCTTACCACAACTTGCATTTTCAACCTAAAAACATCATTTTAGACCTTAAAACATTTTCTTTGATCCTAGACAATGTCAGCTTTTATGTCTTTTAAACTTTAATATAGAAAACTGTAAGACTATAACTCTCTAGTCTTCAACTCCATCAGTGACCTGAGAAGGAGAAATATTCTCTGAGTAATCTGAAAGTGCAGAGCAAGCAGCTCTTAGAGTTACCAAAATGACAGAGATTGCTGGCTTCCTGGATAGTTACCCAAAGTTCACTTGTATCTGTGGGGCTTTTATCTTCAGCTGTCAGGCACAGAAGATCTGACAGACTAATTGGTGAAGCCGGAATTTTGAAGGACTGTCCCACCTTGTTTCTGCAAAGTGGGTCAGTTGACCTCTCAGTATCCTGCTTGTGCATGGTTTGGACAGCATGCTCTTAGTAGCCAAGGGAAGGGATTGTTGTTTGCCCAGTGTCTAGTTTCACCACAATTGCAGCAAACTCCTAGTGGAGTTTCTTCTAGGAGTTTCCACTAGGAGTTGAAGAACTCGGTCATCTTTGGAGGAGGAAAATGAGGGTGCTGCCCAGAGCTGATGTGTCTCTCTACCAGAAAAGCCTTTTATTATTAAAATATCTTAAATGCCATATTATGAAGTTTTCTGAAGTGTTTGAGGACCATGTACCTATTTAAATATATCTAAATAGACAAACATTACTTGTTTCTAGCTATTTACTTTCTTCTTAGCTTTGCAGACATATAGAGGAGGCTGAATAAATCTTATTCAGTAATTAACTAAACTAGTAGCTAACAAGAATACAAGTTTGACTTTTTATAGGTGACCAATTGCTAATTTGTATTTCTAAATTATCCTAAACAGTTTGCAATAGTAGCTTTCAAGGACTACAATTTTGTATTGCATTTTAAATGAGTTACATATGCACAATACCTTACAGAAAAGGTGAAACATATATACAGTATGTTGTAGCAAATATAACCTTAAATTTCCATCAATATACAATAATACACACCAATGTAAAAAGTTTGAGACTTCTTGTTGCCTTCTTAGTTTAAACAAAGATGCAATGAGCCACTTTTTTTTTTCAAGGAGATACAATAATCTATCATTTTTGTCCTTATATCCCTATATCCTGCCCTTTTCTTTCATCCTTTCTTACCACCTAATACCAGGTTGGAGAGAAAGAAGGGTAAAGAGGAGGAAGAGATCCCTGCATATAACCGCCTTTACATTTTTCCTCCCTGACAGTGGCCACTAACAACTTGTAACCAACCCCTTTAAATGAGGACAAATATACATTGTTTCCTGCTGTCTGGGGTCACAGACATCTTTGGGGACACCAAGAAGATTGGCATATTGTCCAAGAGCTAGCTGTTTCACTTACTGTCCTATCTCTGTGTATTAGGAAAGTGTAGGGCTCAATTGAAGTCCTTCCTGAAGCAGTTTTTGAGGCTGATTTGAGGTAGCCTCTTTGAAGTTGTCCTGGATGCAATTTTTTGAGGAAGCATCAGCTGAAGCATATTGTGAGGCTGTGTCACCTGGGCTACTTGCTTTGTCTTCTTTAGTATCTTGTCCTTTTGTGCTGAAAACACACAAACATTTAGAGATAACATACAATTCTGCATTAACAAATATAGAATTGTGGAGTCCACAAATCAGCTAATGATGTCTCTCTGCTCTATGCTTGAGCAGGTGAAAGGCATCTGATAACTTTATAAGTCCATTTAAAGTACATAAATAACCTGTAATAGGGTGTTATAACCTCCATTTATGCCATATGTAAGGATGGCATGAATAATAAAAATCATAATGACTATGTAGCCAACAAGATTTATAAGGTTCTGCAGAGACATTCATGTCTCAGCTAGTCTCCTGAGCATTTGTGTTTTTTGTTTTGTTGCTCCTCTGGGTCTCTTCTTCATGTCTGGAGCCAAGATTTTCAGGAAGTCTTCCCTGGTCAAATCTGATCTTAATTAAATTTGAAGGAACCCACAGCTTTTTTGTTTCCTGTTGCTAAAAAGGCATATCCTCTTTCCCAATGCAGTGTATTCCCTGACTTCCATGCTGATGTTATCACATCCTTATAGTATATAGGTTTATTTAATTCAGTAGTCCTTTCTAAAATCCAGTGTTTTTTTTTTTTTTTTTTGGCAGCTATACTACCTGTCTCATTGATGTTTAAAAAATTTTTTTAATATATATTTTATTTATTTATTATGTATACAATGTTCTATCTGCTTATACACTTGCACGCTAGAAGAAGACACTGGATCTTATAGATGGTTGGATGTTTAAAAATTTAAAGTTAGTAAAGCATTATGTAATCTATCTCTGGAAGATCCCATATCCCCCTTCTGTTTTATGAGCATATCCTTTAAAGTGCAGTTAGATATTTCCTCAATTGCTTGACCTGTAGGATTGTTAGGTAACATGCTTCATGTTATAATATTTAAATAATTGTTGCATTTTACTAGATACATATGTTAGAGCATTATAAGTTTTAATCTGTAAAGTTATCCCTAAGATAACCATCACTTCCAATAATTGTGTAATTTCAGAATCAGCCTTTTCAGAACTCAAAGCAGAAGCCCATTGAAATCCTAAATAGGTATCAGACATACAGTGCACATATTTTAAATTTCCAACTTCTGCAATATGACACACATCTATCTGCCAAAGTTCATTTCTTTAGGTGCCTATGAGGTTACTTCTGGTAGGTAATGGAACTTGATAATATAAAGAAAAAATAGGACAATTTTTCTTAAAATGATTTCCTTGGTTTGTCATCAGGTTATAGAAAAATTTAAGGGCCATTGATCTACTCAAACAGGCTTGTAAGTTAGCTATTTCTTTTTTTTTTTTTTATTTGAAGAAAAACATAAGTTTTAATAAATACTGTGGAAACACTGACCAAACATACAAAGTGACTTCAACATTTAAAAAAAAAAGCAACAAAAATTCTGCTTTATAACAGTTATAACTTATTTTCTTTTTACAATATTTAAATACAGAAAGCACTCGCCAGCTATTTTGTAATACTGCCCAAAGCATAACGCTGCACCAGTCAGAGCATATTATGTTGGTAAAATGTCAGAGTTTCATGGGAAATGACTGAAATGGCATCTTCTTGCAGAGACAAAACAAAGTGCTTGTAAGACACAGAACTGGGTGTTATTATAATTTCCTTAATCTCCTCTTCTGCCACATTTTAATGGAAACAGAGCTTCAACACTTCAAAAATGAAGCGTCATCTTGGGGGGAAAAAAAAGCTTGTTTTCAACAAGCACCAACTATAAAAAGGTCATATCTGATTTCCTCTCTGAAAGGAACTGCTCAAAAGGAGAAACCTGTAAACTATTTTAAATGCTGATTATTACAACCATCAAGTTTTGAACCAGGCCCTAGCTGCGTTTGATTAAGTGAGGTTTCGTAGTTACTTGAGAAATGCCCTAGGCTCATATCAGGGCAGACATTACAGACTTTTTTTTTTTTTCTTTTTTTTTCTATCTGTTGTTTTCTAAAGCGTGGGCAAATGGGGGTTTTGTCAGGACAACATTCATTTGTAGTGGCACGAGCCAACCAACAGCTCCCCGTCTGCTGCCAGTCCAGGGGCACTGTCCCCAGATAACAGTGCTTTCGCTCTGAGCATTTGAAATCGAACTTTTTCCCAGACAGCCTCACTCACAAACTGTGCTCTCTGCTCCTCCTCCTCCATTCATTGCCTCTCCTGGTGGAAACAGTAATCACCCGCTTCCTCTCTGAGATCACTCTACCACATCAAACCAAGACACCTTTTATTTGACTTCTCGTTTTTTTTTTTTTTTTTTTATCAACGATGGCAAAAAGGAAAACAAAGCCACACACTCTCTTCTAAACAGCGCACAAAATATTACATTGAGCAATTTACCACTTGTTAATGACAATCACGGGGAATGAACAAAACCATCAGACAGAATAAAAAGCAACACTCTTTCCTATTTGATCTATGCAATCTTTGTAGTGCTGGTCTACGCATCTTGTAAGGCCGCCGAAGCCTTGCTTTCAAACCACCTTGCTCAGCAGCGACCTTCAGGAAGTCAAGATTTCAAAGCCTCATGAAGTTTTTCCTCTCGGATCCCACGGGTCCCAATACAATTTCCATTTTAATGATGGGCTAGGAGGAAATGAGATCCCATCCTCTAGAAACCTAAACGGTAAGGTCACAGTGCGAGTTCCCCACAAGGACGGTACACTAATAGATACTTTTTTTGAAAGAAAGATTAAAACACCGAGAAACTAAATCAAAGCAGAGATCCACGAAACGAAAACACAAAAACCGAAACCGGAAATACGCAAGCACCGTTCAGAGCCTGGATTTTCTTCTTGGAAGGACCGGCATTCCTCCTTTCCTCTAGCGCTAGCCCGTTTGTAGCTCCCTTTTGTTTTTGGCATATTTGTTTCAAGTCACATTTCAAAACTCTTCAAAACACTTCAAAACACACTTCAAAACTCTGGCGACGTGAAAAATGTCTCTGACGCTGTTTTCTGACTGTAAAGCTGAGCATTCGATGTAAGTGGCTGCTCCGATCTGCTTGGCCATGTTTGCCCCCTGATCATATGACACCGGAGTCTGCCTATGGTTTGAGAGCTCCACTAATGTGCTGACATCTGTCCGGAGATCAGACTTGCAGCCAACCAACAGCATCTTGGTATTGGGACAAAATTCCTGGATCTCACCTTTCCACTTTTTTAAGACACTGTCCAGAGTCTCTGGCCTACTGATGTCAAAGCAAATGAGCACAGCGTCAGAATCTGGGTAAGAGAGGGGACGGATGTTGTCATAGTAAGGAGAACCTGAAGTGTCCCACAGGCTCAACTCTATTCTTTGTGTGTCGATTTCAAAACTGGCAGTGTAATTCTCGAAAACCGTGGGGACGTAATTTTCGGGGAAGCAGTCCTTCGCGAAGACGTGGAGCAGCGCGGTTTTCCCACACTGGCTGTCGCCCACCACTACTATCTTGCATTTCACGTTCTGATTAGGATCCATGATAGATTTACTGGATAATTTCTGGCTGGCTCTTCTCTCCTTCATTGATGTTGCCTTATTTTCTCTTGGAACAGGAATTTTCTCTTTAGAAGAAAAAAAAAAAATATATATATATATATATACTTCTCTATATAAAAAGCCGATATAAAAATAAATCGCAAGGCCGGTGGGGACCCCTTAAGCGCAGCGCGGTGGAGGAGGAGAGCAAGTTAGCTATTTCTATTGCCTTTAATCTAGCATTGCATTTTTAGTCTTCTCCTTATCTAAATCTGCTTTTCTCTGGTCTTTCTTAAACAGGACAGAGCAAGTTGTAATCATTCCCAAACATAAGATTTTTTTTTTTTTTTTTTTTTTTTTGGTGATAATTGAATCAAAATTATATTGGGTCCAAGTGCCCTCTGCCACTGTTTTCCATATTTTAACACAGAAAATATTTCTTTTTTGAACTGTATAACTCTCTCATTTCTTCAGAGACTTCTTTTAGTATTTCACATTAAATATTTCTCCTTAGGGCTGTTTATGTTCAGTTTCTTTTTCTTTTTTTTTTTTTTGTCTGTTTTTTCTTTCTGGATCATCATTAGAAATAATTATTTTTAGGAACAGTTTGTTCACAGTCCTTGAAGAGCTGACCAGGTTTTCCACAGCCGCTGCATTGGACATTCTTAGCTCTCAGACCTTCTGCCACTGTCTGTCCAATCACAACTGAATCATAAGCATTATATCCAACATCCAGAGGAGATTCAATCTATTCATAAATAGGTTCAGAACTGATGCATAAAGGTCTACTAGCCTTTTTGCATACAGCATTAGCATTCTGAAAAGCTAAAATTCAATTAAAATTTCTCTAGCATCTGGATCTGATATTACTCTATTAGCGCTGAAGTTAATCCTGGTAAAAAGTCAGAGAAATTGTCAGAACCCTGGGTTATCTTTGTAAATCATTTTCCTGCGTTCAACCTTGTCTCAAGCATTCAAAGCTATTGTAAGACATTGCTCTAAGGTGGCATCATGAAACATAATCTGTACTTGGAATTCAGAATACTGACCTTTATTCAGCAAATGACCCTTGATGATATTAATTCCTCTAGTCCTATTTCATAGTTTCAAGTTTGAAGCCTCATATTTTCACTATGTTAGGCATTACAGTTAAGAGCCAGGTTGTAAGATGTCTTACATCAAATCTCTTCAATAGTTTGGAATTACACAATTTTGCATGGACCAGTTATTAAGTATCAGTTTTACATAAGATGAATGAATGGATGTCATAAGACATTGCTACTTCTTCAAATCCTTTTAAGTCTAGCATTTCTTCGGGCTGCCATCCAAAATCTTCAAGCCCTTGTGGGTTTCTCTCATCTGGAGCTACTCCTTCCACTATAATTGGAAAAATCATTGTGGGTTTTCTAATTGGCCTGGATTAGTATCCTGCAATATTATCATACAGTGACACCATAGGCACCAGACTGGATTCTTCAGAAGATTCTTTATTCTGATTTAAAGGATCCTCCAATTCTGTTCTATGAGCTTTAATCTAGCATTCTATCTCTCAGTCTTCTCCTTATCTAGGTCTGTCTTATTCTGATCCCTCAAAGATGACATGCAAAATTGTAGTCATTACCAAACACATAATTATTTCTATGCTGATAAATGAAACAAAATTATACTGTGTCCGAGTGCCATCTGCCATTGTGTCTTCTATATTTTAACTCAGAAAATATTTTCTTTTTAAAACTCTAACTCTCTCCTTGCTTCAGAGACTTCACTTTAAGCAGAGAGACTAAAGTTATATAATCAAGATGTAGTCATTCAATACCTCTCCTTGAATATGTCCTCTAGTTAATATCGTGATAAGGGAAAACCTATTTCATACTATTTTCTTTTTACAAGAACTTTCCATGTTTCAGAGTATTTGTAGTTTTCCCAGAGTTCTCCTCTACGCACATGCATGTGCTTTTAGACTGGAGACCATCATGTGGAATGTCTCATCTGACTTCCCATTTTCATGTCATTAAATTCACTAATGTCTTTATGTTTTGTCTTCTAAAGCTTTAATTTTATGTATTAAAATTTCAAATCTGTTCTTAATTCTGGAGTTTATGTCTTTATTGTTTCCATTTACTAATACTTGATATTTTATAGTGCTTGGGTATAGTAATGACAGCTCCCTTCCTTTAGAAATGCAGTTTCCTGTACACTTTTTTGCAATTATTCCTTTAAGAGCTCATATGTAGTCATAGTAGCTATGTTTAGGAGTTTTGTATGAACTATCTAAACTTAGACAATCATGCTACTCCTTTACATTGACTGATAATTTTTCACTTATTATGTCTTGCATGTCTCCCTTTTATTTGCCTGCTTAAGTGCGGTTTTTACCAGTTGTTCACCTGGTGTAAGACTGAAGATTGTTGAATAAAATGAGGTTCTGAAAAATGACTAACATTTCATTCCAAAGTCAATGAGATGAATTTACTTTTCTTAAATTAAAATAGATTTTTCACACAATATATTCTAATCACAGTTTCCCTTTTCCCAACTCTTCTCAGATATTTCCACCTGCCTACCCACCCAAATTTATACCCTTTCTCTCTTCTTCATTAGATAATAAACAGGCTACCATAAACAAAACAAAACAAAATAAGAAGAAACCAGTAAGAACAAAAACAAACCAGAATAGAACAAAATAAATAGAAAAAAATTCCAAAAAGCACATGAAAGTTTTACAAATGAAGAGGTACACAAATGTTTACATACAAAAACCCAATGAAAACACAAAATGAGAAACTGTAATATGTAAACCAAAGACTTGATGGTATAAAAAAAAAAACAAAACCAAATGCCCAGAGAACGCATTGTGAGACACCTCCCCCCCACAAAAAAATCCTTTAAAAATAGCATTGAGTTTGTGTGTGTGTTTGTTTGTGTGTTTGCGTGTGTGTTGACCATCATTGCTAGGTGCTGGGCCTTCCATAAGTGTCTTTTTTCCTAAGTGAGATCCTGTAGGAAAGCACTAATTTTTATCATGTGAATGGTTTTAATTTTAATTAGCTTCAGGGTTAGGGTTGGGGCTTGTGTCAACTTTTCCTCTCAGTACTGATAACTCTATCTGGCTTAGACCTTGTGCAAGCCATGAAGGTCTCTGAGAGTTCATATGGATGTCAGTCCTCTTGTGTTTAGAAGGCTTTGTTTCCTTGGTGTCCTCCATCTCCACTGGCTCTTGCAGTCTTCCCCCATCCACGTCTATCAAACGGAGATGAATTTTCAATTGCAGAGTCCTGTGAGATAACACTGTTAAATGTGTATCGAGACTGATGCACTCCAGGGAGCACTTTAATTCGACAAGCTGCTGGCATCAGACCAAACTAGTGCAGGTGGCTATGACATTAATGTACAGAGACCTGGAATGAGCATTTTAGGATTTAAGACCTGATAGGCCTGGTATTGATGGTTTCTTTGACGTGAAAGAAAATACTTCATTTTTGTACCTCAATCTCATCATCCACAGATCAAAGAGCTTAAATGAAAGATGTCTAAAACATTTTCAGGTTCCATGACCTTCATAAATGGCTTTTGTTTTCTTTCTTTCAGGGCACAGGTGTAATGACATGTCTGACTTCTGTCCTGCATGATGACAAAGAGTTTCCCCACCCAGAGAAGTTTGATCCTGGCCACTTTCTGGATGAGAGAGGCAACTTCAAGAAGAGTGACTACTTCATGGCTTCAGTAGGCAAGTAAGCTTTGCTTTCAAGTGTGTTAGGGACCCTGTGAGTCAAGAAGAGCAGTGCATGAAGGTCCCGGGGGCCAGAGGCAGCACTCCTAAGGTGAGGGCTGCTTCTCATTCGGTCAGAGGTTGCACCCACTAATTCTGCTTTCTGACCTAGGGCTGAACTTCTCAAGACCTACCTCTGAACCACATACTATTCTACTGAGGTTTTTCTTTCCACACAGAGGAACCAGTTCGTTGTAAACCCAAGGAACACCTTATATGTAGTACCTCTGTCCCCAGATCCAAGGGTACAGTGTATGAAAGAAACAAACAGGATAAGTGAATAGGAAGAGGTGGTAGTCTGTGAAAATGTGCTATGCTCATTTTCTCTGGGGGAGCCAAAAAGAGAATAGCTTGCAACTCTGGTCTTTTTTTTTTTTGTTTGTTTGTTTTTATGTTTTTTTTTGAGAATCTTTTGCCTTTATTTTACTTCACATTTTTAGCTTTTGAGGTTATAGGATAATTGCAATATTTTTCTCTCCCCTTTTACCTTATATACCCTCCTATATACATCTCTTTGCTTGCTTGCAAATCCATGACTTTTGTTTTCTTCACTGTATTCTAGTGATTTTGGAAGACAGTGGGCTGAGTAGTCAGACTGTAAGATCAATTGCTTGGAGGAAGCATCAATTATGTCTTGAAAGGGTCTCAGAAAAGAAAAATTATTCAACTCTAAAGGATGATTAAAAGTTTAAGGAAGAGGCTGTTCCGGAAGGAACAGGAAAACATGACAGAGTATGCAAAGGTCCTTGAGACTGACACAAGCAAAAGGGTTGTAATGGGCCAAGAACAGAGACTGGAACCTCTCTTGCTGAGGCAGCGTTTTCTCCACTAGAAAGTCATGTACTGTGGAGGATCAAAGCCACCAGTCGTTACCAGGGCCTGGCAGTGTTAAACTAAAACAAACAAACACACGGACACTGTTTGGCATAAGAAGCAATAATCAATCATCATTGTGGCAAGCAGAAACTGTGTTAATTTTGTATCTGAGCATGTTGAAGAAATTGGCACAGTGAACATGATATTTGAGCTGAATCTCAAGGAATGTGTATAGACAGGAGGCAGAAAGCAGTGGCAGGCCATTCTACTCAGGGAAGTGACTGTAATGTGACTTAAATCTTGACGTTGCCACTCTGCTTTTGGGATGGAAAAACACTGATGCCTCTAGTATGGAAAAGCAGAAAGAACAAGAAAATGTTACATTCTAATAATTACTTGTAGGCATATTGTAGCACTTGTTTTTATACCCACCAATTTCCAATGTTAGATTTTTTTTCTTTTAGCAGATTTACAACATGTTTGAGTTGCAGAGACAGGTGTACCTCTGTGAGTTCAAGGCCACCCTGGTATCCAAAGAGAGTTCCAGGACTGCGAGGGTTTTAATGTAAAGAAACTTTGTCTCAGAAAAAAAAAAAAGGACAAATTAAAATAGCTATAAATTTGAGAGTGTGTGTGGTTGGGCACAGAAAAACTTAGAGTGAGAAGAGGAAGGGTTAAAATGGTAAAAATATATTACTAATTTATGAAATTAAAAATGGTAAAATAATAAAAAAAAAGTGGTTCAAAAAGAAAAGAAAATTTTCCTGAGGAAAGGAAGGAAAGTAGAAAGTTGGGATAGTGCAAAAATGCAGTCAGTTGTCAGGAAATTAGTCTAGGTTAATGAGTCATTGGTTAACATATATCCAAAGTGTGTTAACTCAGAATCAGAATTAAATGACTTATCAGTCACCATGTCTTTTCAGGAAGAAGAGCTTGTATCGGAGAAGGCCTGGCCCGCATGGAGATGTTTTTAATCCTGACCAGCATCTTACAAAATTTTTCTCCAAAACCTCTGGTCAATCCAGAGGACATTGACACCACCCCAATTCAAACTGGTCTCTTGTTTCTGCCTCCGTCCTATGAGCTCTGTTTCATTCCAGTCTGAAACTGGGTAGTCTTTCACCTGGAAGACAGAGTCTCTGTATTTACATGGGAGCAAACAGGTCTTTCCTGTCCTACGCACCTGCATCCTGCACTAGTTCTGGTGGTAGGCATGCTACCTCTGAACTGTGCTTAACTGTTCTCAGTCCTTTATGCACCAGCCCCACTTTCCAGATATGAAAAACCTCAGTTTCGGCACTGACGACTGTAGTGTGTGCATCAGATAATTAGTCACCTTTTAACCGAGTGCATTCCAAATGGAAAGTGCATCATCAATCTTGTTTCAATAAGAGTTATCAATCAGAGCTTATTCTGTGAGTTTCAAGAAAATGAATTAACCATGGTACTGAGCCATAACTCCTTCCCGTGTCACTCTGTAGGAGAGTAATGTCTTGACTGTGTGGCATGTATACATTTTCCTTTATCTCCATAACATGTTAAAGTGTGATTACATGCACATCTCTTCATAGGCGATATGTAGGATTATACATATAAACATACAGGCAGATGGTACACACAGGGAGAAAACAAGGGAAAAAACCATGCCTGCCAAGGAGAGTAACATCAGATAAAACTTGAATCCCAGTTTTCAAGGATATTCTTCCCTTATCTTCCCCCAGAGCTACCTCACCACACTCCACATATGATTTCATGTAACCTCATTTACATAAACAGAAATATGTGCTTATGTTGGTTTAAAGTTAACTATGATTTGGAAGTGCTAATTATATAAAGCATATAATAGATATTTTTGTAAACACCTAAACAATTCACAGTATTTTACTGGCTGGCTATTTCATAACTTCCAGACTTATTTTTTATTCTAGCATAAATATTACTCTTTAATGATATTTAGATTACTTTTGAGATATTACCTTCATATGTTATTATATCTACAAATATTTAATGGCTTTATACCATTTCTTTTTTTTAAAAAAAATTCATTTATTGTAGGTTGTGCCCACAAATTCCCCTGCCTGCTCTCCTCTCAGTTTCTCTTCTCACCTCCCTCTCCATCCACTTCTCTGTTTCTCTTCAAAGAAGGGCCAGCCTCTGTAGATATCACCCACCCATGGCATATCAAATTTTAGTAAGACTTGGCATTTCCCCTTGTATTAAGTCTAGACAAGATAACCCAGTAGGGAGAAAAGGTCCCAAAGGCAAGCAACAGAGTCAGAGCTATCTCCTGCTCCCACTATGAGGAATCCCATAGAAAGATCAAGCTGCAGAACTGTAACGTATGTGTAGAGGAGCTAGGTCAGCCCCATGCAGGCTCCCAGGTTGGTGTTTCAGTCTCTGTGAGTGCTTATGAGCCTGACTGGTTGTCTCTGTGGGTTTTCTTGTGTCCTTGACCTTTCTGCCTCATGCAGTCCTTCCACCTCCTCTTCAGTGGGATTCTCCAAGCCTAATGTTTAGCTGCGGGTCTCTGTATGTTTCCATCAATTGTTGGGTGAAGCATCTCTGATGACAATTGGGCTAGATGCCAGCCTATGATACTCATTAACAGAATATCATCAGGAATCTGTTCATTTCTTTTATTCTTTTTCTTTTTTCTCCTTTTTTAACAATTGCCATTTCTGTTTGTTTTTATCTTGGGTCTCTGGGCAATGTCAGGGATTTGCTCCCTCTTGTGGCATGGGTCTCAAGCTGGACCAGAAATTGATTGGCTGCTCCCACAATTTCAGTGCCACCTTTACCCCAGCATATATTGTAGTTAGGACAAATTGTAGGTCAAGGGCGTTTTGGCCGGGTTGGTGTGCCGATCCCTCCACCTGCCTGGTGAGAGGAGATGGCTGGTTCAGGCTCCATAGTCTCCATTTTTAGGAGTTTTAAGTAGTGTCACCCTTATTGCTGCCCTAGCTAGCTTTATAGCTTGTCCCAGAGAGGGTGCCCAATTCCAGTTGTCTCTCCCAATTCTCTCTCCCTCCATCCTTCCAACTCCAGATCTCTCCTGTTCCCATCCCCTCTCTCCCACCCCAGTCCAGTCTCCCCTCCCCATTCACCCACAATGTATACTCTGTTTCCCTTTTTCAGTGAGATACATGTGTTTCCACACTGAACCCTCCTTGTTATTCAGCTTTGTTGGATCTGTGGACTGTAACATGTTTATTCTTTACTTTACGGTTAATGTCCACTTATAAGTAAGTACACACCATGCTTGTCTTACTGGGTTTGGGCTACCTCACTCAGGATGATCTTTTCAACTTCCATCCATGGAAGTCAACAAATTTCATGATGTTCTTCATCTATTTTTTCAGTTGAGGGACATCTCAGGTGGTTCTAGTTTCTGCCTACTATGAATAAAACTGTTATGAATATAGTTGAGGAAGTTTCCTTGTGGCATCATGAAATGTTCTTTGGGTATATGGCCAAGGAGTGGTGTAGCTGGGTCTTAAGGTAGAGCGATTTCCAATATTCTGAGAAATTATTATATTGGATTCCAAAGTGCCTATTATAAGTTTGTGCTCCCATCAGCAATGGAGGGGTGTTTCTCTTGCTTTAAATACTTGTCAGCATGAGCTTGTGTCTTTGACTTTAACTATTCTGACAGTGTTATATAGGATCCCAGAGTCATTTTGATTTGCATTTGCCTGATGGCTAAGGATATTGAAAATTACTTTAAGTGCTTCTCAGCCATTAGAGATTTCTCAGTTCTTTGTTTAGGTCTGTACCTCATTTTCAAATTATTTGGTTTGTTAATGTCTTGTTTCCTGAGTTCTTTTTTTTAAATATTTTTTATTTTAATTTTTATTAATTACACTTTATTCACTTTGTATCTCCCCATAAACCTCTCTCTTCTCCCCTCCCAATCCCACCTTCCTTCCCCTTCTCCACGCATGCCCCTTCCAAAGTCCACTGATAGGGAAGGTCTTCCTCTCCTTCCTTCTGATCCTAGTCTGTCAGATCTCATCAGGAGTGGCTGCATTGTCTTCCTCTGTGGCCTGGTAAGGCTGCTCCCCCATCAGGGTGAGGTGACCAAAGAGCAGGCCCATCAGTTCATGTCAGAGGCAGTCCCTCTTCCCATTACTATGGAACTCACTTGGACACTGAACTACCGTGGGCTACATCTGTGCAGTTGTTCTAGGTTATCTCCATGCCTGGTACTTGTTGGAGTATGATTCTCAGGAAGGACTCCTGTGCTCAGACTTTTTGGTTCTGTTGCTCTCTTTATGGAGCTCCTGTCCTCTCCAGATCTTACTATTTCCCACTTCTTTCATAAGCAGATTCAATGCAATTCCCATCAAATCTTGAGTTCTTTATATATTCTGGATATCAGCCCTATGTCAGATGTGGGTTGGTGAAGATCTTTTCCCATTCTGTAGGCTGCTGTTTCTTTTTTCTTTTCTTTCCTCCCTTTCTTCTTTCTTTCTTTCTTTCTTTCTTTTTTTCTTTCTTTCTTTCTTTCTTTCTTTCTTTCTTTCTTTCTTTCTTTCTTTCTTTCTTTCTTTCTTTCTTTTTTTTTTGACAGTATCCTTTGCCTTGTAGAATCTTTCTAGTTTCATGAGTCCCCATTTGTTAACTGTTGATCTTAGTGCCTGCACTACTTGTGTTCTGTTCAGGAAGTTGTTGTCAATGCGTTCATGTTTATTCCCCACTTTCTCTTCTGTCAGATTTACTGTATCTGGTTTTATGTTGAGGTATTTGATCTACTTGGAGTTGAGTTTTGTGGAAGGTCATAATCTATTTGCATTTTTCTACATGCTATCATCCAGTTAGACCAGCACTATTTGTTGAAGATGCTTTCTTTTTCCGTTGTGTATGTCTGTCTTCTTTATAAAAAATCAGGTGTTCTGGGCGGGGAGATGGCTTAGTGTTTATGAGCACTGGCTGCTCTTCCAGAGGACCCAGGTTCAATTTCCAGCACTCACACAGCAGCTCACAAATGTCTGTAACTCCAATTCTAGAAGATCTGACACTCACACAGACATACACACAGGCAAACACCAACACACATGAAATGAAAATAAAACAAATACCAATAAATAAAACAGGTGTCCACAGGATACCTGGATTTTCAATTAGATTAAATTGATCGATCTGTTGTTGATGTTGTTTTTCCTGCAAATACCATGCAGTTTTTAAAAAACTTCCTGCTACTCAGTTTGAAATTAGGTATATCTCCAGAAATTCTTTTATTATACACAATTGTTTTAGCTATCCTGGGCTTTTCTTTTCCCATATGAAGGTGAGGATTGTTTTTTCAAGGATACCTGATAAAACAGGATCAGATGAATGGGGAGGAGGTCCCCCCTATCAGTGGACTTGGCAAGGGGCACGGTGGAGATGAGGGAGGGAGGGAGGGTCTAGGAGGGAATGAAGGATCGGGACACGGCTGGGATACAGAGTTAATAAAATGTAACTGATAAGAAAAAATAAAATAAAAAAATAAATAAAATGGAAAACTGCACAAACATAACTACAACTTAAAAAATATTCTGTTGAATTTTTTTTTTACAAATAGTAAAAAGGAGATCTTTAATATAAGTACAAAATTTTGTTTCTTTATACAACTGTAATAGGATTTGAACCAAACCACTAGGAATTAGAAAAAAAAAACAAAATAAAACAATTATATAAAACAGGAAGAATCTAAAGTTTTTGTTCTAAGAGTACCAAATACCACAAGGTACAGATTATTATACAAATGTGTACAAATATTTAGTACCGATACAAAAGGGCTAGGCTTTAGAGGAGAACAGATATGAAAAAGTTGGTTCTCATCAGGAGTTTACAACTGTCTGTAGAAATGACAATGGAGGATTGGCTGCTTCCTGCACAGTACATGTTTTCCTGGTCTCTCCCCGATACCTGTTTCAAACAGGGAACTTCCACAGATTCAAACGAGGTTCTGACATGTTAGCTCAAATGTAAATTTCTACTCTTCTTGAGTCAAGTTCTCACATATTCCTGTTTCTTTCTTCATTTTCCAGATGACATCTCAAAGCTACTCTGAGCTGAGAAAGGGATTTTGCTTCCAGAACACCCATGAGAAGCTCAGCCGTG